GTATATTCTCTAACAATAGATATGTTCAAGATTTACACTAGCTGATTACTAGATTGATCCAAGGATGGAAGAGTTCCTTTCAGCTTCTCTATGGTGAAAGTTGCCCAGCATAGCAGACGCTGCCTCTAAACTGATGGTTTCCAGATGTGCCATTTGTACATGTGCTGCCTCAGTTTGCCACTGCACTGCTATCATTTTCTTCAGGGTTGACAGCCTTGACTTCAGATTCTGTTGGTTTTGATGCTTCCATGGCAATCTCATGGTCGATTGATATACCCGTTGTAATATCACCTGCAGCTGGGATGTTTTCAATGTCCTTAAGATCATCCTCCCCCGATTTTGGTGCATCACCATTTTTAATGTTATTCAAGCTATCACTTTCTTTTGCTGAAGTTGATAGGCCAGCACTGGCTTCAGCATCGGTCAGTCTTTTGGATTCATGTTCAGTATCTTCGACAGTTCCGGCACTAGTTGCCTCGGTGGTGTTTGATGTTTCCATGACAGCCCCTTGTCTACTTAATATTTGGGGCTCACCTTCACCATCAAGAACACAAATCAAGATCTCTTTGTCGGTTATATTATCAGCTAATGAGTCATTCACATCGCCAATACTATCAACTTCTGCTGCAGACTTCTGAGAAAGGTTCCAGCTCGATGTCAGTATAGCTAAGCATGTTTGAGACTATCATAAACACTGCAGAAAATAAAAAAACAGCTAGGAAAACGGAAGGAAGCTTATCTGTGAGAAATGAATTGTAGGCAATACATAATTAGAAGTATAAAGGAAACTGTTATTCAGTGAAGGAGCAAGTATATCTAATTTTCATTCTCTATTTGCTCTTTCAGAGGGTAAACAAATTCAATAGTTCACCGCTAATTGGTATTTGAATGGTTCTTTCAAATTGGAAGTTCTTTTTTCTTTTGTTTTGTCATCTTCTTGGAAGCTGGAATCAATTAAAACTATGAATGATTTACTTTATGCTATTATTTTACCTCTCCTTGTGTTGCAGTTTCAGGAATGCTTGGATTATCGCTTTCATGTTCTTCTTTTTTGTTAACATCAGCTTCATGTTCATTTGATTCTTCAGGTCCCTTGACGGCCTCCAGTCTGATTGAGAATTGGGATTCTCCTTCACTAGTTGTCAACTTCTCCCCGTCTACCTTCTTATTGACTACTGAATCATTGATATTTTTGACAGTGTTGCCTTCCTCAATGACCTTCCTTGGAGAGTTTGTTGGTTCCTATACGAAATAACAAAAAACACACATATTACCCCATCAGTTTACAGCACGTCGGTTCATTAAAAAATTACTAAATCAAATAACTGAATAGATATTTATTGCTGTTGTAATTCAGTGTCAGTTGAGTAAGCAAGTATGGGGATCTTTTGCCAAAGTTAAGCATGGCATTACCTCTTCCGATCTTACCATAATTTCAGGAACATATGAATTAGCATTTGATGGACTGATTCCAGTGTGATATTCAATCAGTTTTTCAGATCCCTCTTCAAGATGCTCAACAGAACCAGGATCGCTTTCCTTGAATGGTTCTGATAGTTCTTTAGTATCATTAGAACTCATCATAGTTTCTGATTCACCTTCACTGGATTTTATGTTATGCTCAATAGAATCTTCCTTGCCGTGCGTGTCTTCTAACACTTGTTCATTCATATTATGGACGGTGCTACAATTAGTAGTCTTCTCTGTCATGTTAGATGATCCCTGTTCAATAT